GCTATAGGGAGACCCTATCTCAAAGAGACCAAAAAAAAAAAAAAAAAAAAAAAAAAAAAAAAAAAAAATGAAAGGAGAGAACTGACTACATTCAGTTGTCCTCTGACTTCCACACATGCCACAACATGCATATACACATGTACACACACACACACACATACACACATCCGAGGACCAAACCTTTAACGCATGGACATATAGCCAAGCAACAACACTACTGTACAGATATCCTAGGTTATCAGAACTTAAAAAGAGAGGCAAGGTCTTCATCTACCACACATTGTGGCGAATCTTTTCCAAACTATAGCTACTGATACAGCAGCATCTTTTGGACTTCAGTAAAGTGTGAAGAAAGTTTCTGTGTTTGAGAATCCATTTAACTGTGCAATTGTGAAGCTTCCCCTGACCTTCAGTTGGATGTGATTGATCTACTATAGGTTGGCCTAATAAGAGGCAAATACTCAGAAAAATTTTTTAGTTTCATGGCCACATGTTAAGTAGTGGCTCCCACAGTATGCTTCTAGACTAATATATTTCTGTGTGAAAGACATTTTGAGAGATGAAATAACATAAAATCTCATGGCAGATGAAGGCTAAAAGGGGACTGTGTGCAATCTGTTATAACATTAGGGAACACTGTCCTTTTTTTGGCACTACTGGGGATTGAGCTATCATTGTGAGGCAAGTGCACCACCACTGACCTACAGCCCAAGCCTGAAGTAATAACTGTTAACCACAGCTGAATAAGTGTTTTCCCTAAAAAGACCCCAATCTTCTTGTCAGTAGACCTATATTACAAAAAATTATACTTCATTATCATTACCATAGCTTGATTGATAAGTGCTCTGCAACTGAACTATATCCTTAGTCCCATGTTACTGTATTTTGAATTTCATCAATAAGAAGCTGTGGAAATTTGTTTCCCTCCTGTTACTGAGCTCCCATCAGCATCTCAGTTTTGCCTTCTGGTCACAAAGCTTCAGGTTTGCTTTTCTTCTTTACAGGGTAAGTCTGTACCAGCTGGAACACAGCTTGGCCCTGAGTGGGGCTGGCATATATAGAGCCTGGCTTACTGCCTTGTAGAATTCAGTCTTTACCCCATGGGTCATACCTTGCATGGACCCGGTAGACACTTTTTTCAGGGTGACTCATTGGCAGAGCATTTCATTGGGAATAGCTATGAAGTTTCAAATGTCTTTATGCTTCAAAATCCCAAGAGCGTCCTGTTTCTTTTTTGAGTCACTTAGTTGTGGGCATCACATTGGCAGAACCTGAGCTGGTGGCATCTTATAGTCTGTCTTTTCCATAACTGTGCATCACGGCTTATGCCCCTTGGTACATGCACTGTTTGTAGTGGCACCTGTTGGATTTACTTTGCCTTTGACTCAATAGCGCTGAAAGATTCATAACCTCTGTAGGAGTGTTGTCGAGCAGAGTGGGATATCGTGTGCACTGCAGACCAAGTCAGACTCCTGTTGTTGGATGTGCATCATTTAAGTTGTGTGTGATTTTTCATTGTTACAAATAAGACCTCATACATTTACATGCTTACCTTTAGGATAAATAACAGAATTTTCTGTGTCATTGGCTAAATTTTAATGTATATTAGATACACAATGCCAGAGAAGAGTGTAGTTACTGTTTCTGTATCTGAATATCCCTGACACTGAGTATATTAGTCAGGCTTCTTGTTGTGACAAATACCTGAGAGGAATAGTTTTAAAGGGACAAAGGTTTGTTGCTTTGTCTCAGTTTCAGGATTTCATGTCGACCATGGTGAAACAGAAGAATGTGGTGGACAAGTATGACAGAGCAGAGTTGCTTACATTTTGATGGCTAGAAGCTGAGAACAAGACAGACAGAACAAGGCACCCTTCAGAAGGATGCCTACTACCCATTTCCTCCAGCCAGTCCCCACCTTCTATATCTCTACTCCCTCCCAATAATGCCAATAGATTATTACTCTATCAATGGACTAATCCATTGAAGTCAGAACTCTTCTGATCCAGTTACCTTCCATGACCTCCACAGCTGGCAATCTTAAACATGAACCTTCAAAAGCTCTTTCAGATTCAAACCATACACTGGGTATTGTTGTTTTTATCCTTTTTTAAAGAATTCTGATTCGTGAAAAGTAATGGGCAGTAAACATGGTATCAGTGGCTAGTTATTTCTAACTTTGGTAGGTTCCATTGATCCCTGGATTTTCAATATTCGGGTCACAGCTCTTTCTGAGTGAGACCATTTTGGATGGCTTCCCTCTGTTAGGCTCTGTGCTCCACACTCTGGTTCCAGGGCTGCCTTTCATACATTTAGGTATGGATACCTCTCCTCCCCTCCTTACATTTATTTATTTTATATATGTATCTGTGGGTGCATGTGGGCCATTGTATTCATATGGAAGTCAGAATATACCTTGTGGGAATCTCTTCTTTCCTTCCACCTTATGTTCCCCAGGATTGAACTCACATTGTCAGGCTTGGCAGAGGCACCTTTACCTGCTGAGCCATCTCTCTGGCTTGGGAACATCTCTTCTAGCTGATACCTTTGCCATCTCTTGGGCTGAGCCCTCAATTTCCTCTAGTCTAAAAGGGCCCCTTTTCTGTCCAGGTACACAGCTTATGTATCTTCAAGATACCTATAGTCAGGCTTCTGTAGTGCTTCTGTTTAGGCTTTGTAAGAAACATTAAATTCTAAGCTTTTCTTTCAAGCCCTATAAAACTTAGAACTTGGTTTATGACAAGGAATTCTAATCTTTAAATCCCACCATACCCTAGAAGTCTTTTCTTCAATTTGTTTTGTTTTGTTTTAAATATTTTATTATTTTTATTTTATGTGTATGCATATATTGCCTGCATGTAGGTAAGTGCACCCGTGTCATGCAGTGCCCTCAGAGGTCAGAAGAGGCTGTTGGATCCCCTGGAACTGGAGTTACAGATAGTTGTTAGCTGCCATGTGGGTGCTGGCATTCAAACCTGGGTCTTCTGCAAGAACAGTCAGTGTTCTTAACTGGTGAGCCATCTCTCCAGCCCCCATGGAAGACTTTTCTTTAAGGAAAGGCCCTGATGCATTCCTGATCCTGATGGCCTGGGGCACTGGAGCTCTTCTCCCTTCACCTTTTTTTTTTGGGGGGGGGGCTTTTTTTTGGGGGGGGGGTCTCTTGGAGGCCCCAGGTGCCTGGAAACTCCCTAGTTGGCCCGGCTTAGCCTTAACCCCACAGAGTCCCGCCTGCCTCTGCCTCCCAAGTGCTGGGATTAAAGGCATGCGCCACCATGCCTGGCTTCCCTTCACCTTTTAAAGTAGCCAACTGGGAAAGACTGTGAGGTCAGACCCCAGCCAGTGGAGAAAAGACAGAGTCCTCTGGAGTTTAGATAAAAGCCCACCAAGCTTCTGGGTCCTGTGTGTGCTTACTGGATCTGAGTGGCCACATAAGACACCCTTTTGCAAAAGCAAAATCTGCCTTCCCAAGTTATTTTCGCTTTGTCCATGTGTTCTTTGTGTGGTATTGATGGGGTCCTTGCACCTCGGATTTTATTTCTGACATCTGGACATGTCTAGGACCTGTTCTAAGCTCTCTAGGGCTCAGGTCTTTAGGGAAAGACAAATGTGCAGATAAAGTTTAATGAGGTAGGCATGGTGGTGCACATCTTTAATCCCATCAGAGGCAAAGGCAGGCAGATCTCTCTGAATTTGCTGCCAACCTGGTCTATATAGTGAGCTCCAGGCCAAAAAAAGTTTAATGAAACATTAAACTTTTAATGAACATAAACTTTAATGAAGCATTTCTTGGTTGACTACTCATAAATTATCTTTCACAGAGTGAATTTGTAGGATTTTTTTTATATGAAAAAGTCATTTTAAGTTTCCTTCACCATCTGTATGTTCTGAGTTGTGGCTAGCATCTTTTACATGTCACTTGTATCTGAGTTCTAGTCTAATGGATGGAGCTTTTGCTGAAAGTCAGAAGGCATTGATTATTTCCTATAATATGTAAGGTTATCAACCTGGTTTAGTCAACAAGTATGCTGTCTAAGGACAGACCAAGCTGCTTTATTGGCCAATGATCCAGAGAAACACTGAAGCCCTGGGCAGCTTTGGGACTGACTGCCTGTATTCAGGACAACTTCCTCTATGGGCTGGCAGTTTCTGTTTCCTGGGTTGTTTTTTTTTTTGGTTTTTTTTTTTTTGTACTATGACTACTGGCCACAGACACTAGGGGGCAACCTTCACCCAGCATCAGACAGACATGGCCACTGGCCACTGCTGTAGTCTGTTACGTGACCAAGTGACTTTGGCACACAAACCAGGCTTCCAGGACAGGACTGTACTGAGGCTGTTTTTGTCTTCCTGTATTATTTCCTGCCCTCAGCCCAGTGAGAACTCTTCTGCCCTCCTTGATGGCAGCAGGGACGGTGGATGCCCCAGACAGCATGTCTGGATCTCTAAGCTGCCTGTGCCAAAACAGTATATGAGACATGAATTCACTGATAGCCACACTGTCAGTGGTCATATATAAGGGGTTACCAGAGCCACTTCCTCAGGTCTATAACAGTACACTCTATGAAAGTCACCGGTACTACCACCTCAGGGTCTGTTACACTCTGAAGGTCACCTAATTCACCTCCTCAGGGTCTGTCACACTCTAGGAGTACCCCAAGCTGCCTCCCTGGGGTCTATCATGCTCCAGGTGATGATTAATTCCACATCATAGGTAGCTGAGGAAGTTGAATCACAGTCTTGGGGCAGGATCCCTATTGCTCCAGAGTCTTATCTTGCTGCACCTCACATGTTATATCCTGTCTGTTCCTGCATGCCTGCAGTGTGGACATTAAGGTGCCAGTTCTGACCCATGCTTATAGCCATGCCTGTTACTTTCTTCCTACTAGCATCTTTCAAATTTCATAACCTAACTGCAAATTCCTTCATGTGATATTTATGAATAGTTTTACTACCTAAGTCCTTTCCTACGAAGATTTAAATTCTCTGTTAATTCTTAACAGCGGAAATGAGAAAACAGAGGGAATTTTATCACAAGCTGGGCATGGAGGTACCAGGTGACATCAAGGGGGAGGCGTGTTCAGCAAAACAGCACTTAGATCCCCGAAACGGTAAGTAGCTATGTGGGCCACCATGAAATTCAGGGGCTCATTTATCAAGACTTCTCTCACAGAGAGCATTTTTTCTGTGCCTTTGGTGGTTTTACTAAAAAGTGACAATTTTATAGCCGGGCATGGTGGCACACGCCTTTAAACCCAGCACTTGGGAGGCAGAGGCAGGCAGATCTTTGTGAGTTGAAGGCCAGCCTGGTCTACATAGTTAGTTCCAGGACAGCTGGGACTACAGGAAGACCCTGTTTCAAAAACACCAAAGGAAAAAAAAAAAAACAAAAACAATTTTTTGGTAGGTGGTGGGCCTAGGAAGAAACAGTGGAAGGTGGATGTCCTAAGATAAGATTTAACTTTGCTTTCTTGACAGTAAAGGGGCCAGATAGCAGTTGTGTTTGAACATAAAGTTAATTGATATTTTTAAGTCTGTATATATTGTAAATTATTCAGTCTTTAAGTCCTGACACTTTCTGGTAGACATACAAGTTCTCAAGAAACCTCTAAACCACCCTGTCTGTTCCTGTCAACCTAAGGAGAACTGTACCTAGATTCATGAGGAAGCCAAGCTAGGTTGGGGTGGAACTGGGTAGGGTGGGTGACGATGGGAATCCTGTTTGTCAAACAGTAAGGTTCCATGAGCCAGGCTCCTTAAGAAGGGAGGTAGCTTGCTATGGTGAGTACTGAATAGTCCTGGGGGCTTGTCTCTGCTGTGTTCATCAGTTTTGGTCACTGTCTTCATCTTCTCAGCCCCTCAAGACACATAGTCCAAAACCTACCTTACCCAGCTGTAGCTGTAGTGAGACCTTGTACCACAGAGTTACTTGGTTCTTTAACAAACTGACAGAATGATTTTGACCCCATCACTAGGTTCCTTGTGTGTATGCTCTTAGAGTAATTATCAGCAGCATTTTGAGTATACTGTGAAGTTTTATAAATGTAATATTTTGGCCTTCTTAATATGGGTAAATATTGCTTGTCTGAAATGCTTAGGGCCAAAAGTGTTTCAGAATTGGGTTGATTTTTTATTTGTTATTTTTTCATTTGGGAGTACTTGTATATACATAATGAGATACCGTGTAGAATTTCAAGTCTAAAAGTGAAATTTATTTATGTATCACATTCCCCTTCTACACATAGCACAAGAGTAAGTTTATACAATATCTTTTAGTGCTTCTGCCTTTGACTGCAGTCTGTCATGTAGGGTTGAGTTTGAAAGTTTCTATAGATACCTCAAAAAGTTTTACATATTGGAATTTTTGAATTTTGGATTAAAAGTCTTCAACCTGGACAACATTTTCTGTTTGTGCTAAAAGGTGAAACCAAAGCAGATGACAGTTCAAATAAAGAGACACCAGAAGAGAAGCAGGAAGAGGACAACGATTACCACAGGAGTGACGAGCAGGTGAGATGCTTCCTGTCTGTGCATCCTGTGTCTGTACCCTGCAGCATCTTGTGAAGAAATAACAGGATGAAACACCATAGAGTTTCTTCACTTTACAGGTCCGTTTTATTACTTCTTACCCTGGCCCTAACCTGCACTTATTGCAGGCTGTGACTCAAGCCAGGCATGGTGGTGCACACCTTTAATCCCAGCACTTGGGAGGCAGAGACAGGCAGATCTAGTGAGTTCAAGGCCTGGAATTCCACGCCAGCTGGGTCCGGGAGACCCTGTCTCAAAAAAAAAAAATAAAAAACAACAAAAAAAAATGTACACGCTGTGACTCTGCCTGTGCTTCTGTTTCCCTACCCGTAAAATGGATGGTGGTGATTCATGCCCTGGGTTTCTGTGAGAGTTCAGTTGAAGCAGTTGGTAAACTGAAAAGATGAATAAAGCACCAGCCATTTCAGTGAGGCATTAGTTTAGGTTCACACCAGTTTCCTCTTGTTAGTGCCCTTATGTATCATTGCTATCTTGTCAGTTTCTCCTTGTGATCCCAGAAGTTGCATTGTGTCTGCTGATTTAATAGGGAGCACAGACTTAGTGCTGGTTCACGTTTGTGATAAAGTGTGCCTTGCCCCTGTTGAGTTCTTTCTCTGTGCAGTTTCTTTGCTCTGGGTCCTGACTGGTCAGGCTTTGGTATCACTGCTGCCCTTAATTTCTCTCTGGACCATTCTGTGTTCTGATGCTTTGAGTATGTGATATGGGGTTTGTGTTGCTTTCTTAAACATATCTTGAAGATCTTATTTAATAATGAATTTATTTAGCACACTTGTGTTTATTGAAGTAACTGTCTTGTGTTTCTTCCCTTTCCTATTGACCCATCCAGTGTCAGGCTGATTTCTTCTTTTTGTCTCTCAGTAGTTTGGAAATATTGTATCTTTTTATTCTGGTAGTGAGTACTCTTAAATTTTCAAACATGCATAAATTTACATTTTTAAGTCACCTAAAGTTTTGTTCCAGATTTTTTTTTATGAGAATTGGGGTTTAGTAAAGATATTTTATTATAGCCAAGCATGGTGGTACACACCTTTAGTCCCAGCACTTGGGAGACAGAGGCAGGCAGATCTCTGAGTTCGAGGTCAACCTGGTCTACATAGCAAGTTCCAGGCCAGTTGGGGCAACAGGGAGTGCTGGGACTAAAGGCATGTGTGCCACCTCGCCTAGCTTATTGCTTAATTTTATTAATGTTTTGATGTAACCTGATGGCTCATGCCTATAATCCCAGAATTTGGGAGACTGAATTAGGAATATCACCACAAGTTTGATGCCAATTTGAATGAGACCCTATCTCAACAAAGCAAAACTTAAACTAAAGTTGGTTGTGGTTTGGGGGATTATTTGTTCGTTTCTTTGTTTGAGATAAGGTCCCATACGAACCAGTCTGCCCTTGAGCTCCCTATATAGCCAAGGATGGTCTTGAACTTCCAACCTTACTGCCCCCACCTGTAAAGTGCTAAGATTACAGATAAGCACCACCACCCTCAGAGATGATAGGCATGTACCACTATACCCAGTTTATGCTTCCAGATGAAACCTAGTGCTTTGCTAAGCAAGCACTTAACTTACTAAGCTACATCCTCCCAACTCCCATTCCCCAGTAAAGTTTGTTTTGTTTATTTTTGTTTTGAGACCTGATCTCCCTGTAGCCACAGTTGGCCTGGAACTCACTATGTAGACTAGGCTTGCCTCTGTCTCCTGAGTGCTGGGATTAAAGATGTGTGTCACTACACCTTTATTTAGCTCCCAATAAATTTTTGATGCAAAAGTAGTAACTGTATAGATTTAGTAAGTTTCATGCTTTTACTTTTATAGGATTTTTTGTTTTATGTTGTTTTGTTGTGTTTGTGGTCCTAGGGGTGGAACCTAGGGCCTCATATATTGTAGGCAAGTCCTTTACCACTGAGTTACATCTCCAGCCCTCTTTTTGCGTTTTATTCTAAGGCAAGTTCTCATTAAGTGTCCAGATTGGCCTTGAATTTACTGTGTAGCCCAGGCATACTTTGAACTTGGGATACTCCTACCTCAGTCTCCTGAGTAGCTAGTACTGTAAACCTTTGCCACCAGACCCAGTTCTTTTGGTATTTTATTTTGTTTCCCACACTGTTGGATTTGGGGTTTTTTTGTTTTTGTTTTTGTTTTTTTTATTTTATGTCCAAGTGTTTGGATAGTGAACATTTCAAGTTCTTATATGTCAGTGAGTCAGTGAGTGTATTCATCACATCTGAATGCTTTTTTTGAGACAGTGTCTCCCTGTAGCCCCAGCTGGCCTGGAACTCGCTATGTAGACCAGGCTGGTGTTAAACTCACAGAGATCCGCCTGCCTCTGCCTCCTGAGTGCTGGGACTAAAGGCATGTGCCACCACATCCAGCCTTTGAATGCTTTTTTAAAATATTATTATTATTTTTATTTAATGTGTATGAATGGATTGCCTGCATATATGTAAGTGCATCCATGTTGTGCAGTGCCTATGGAGGTCAGAAGAGGGTGTCATCCCATGGAACTAGAGTTATGGGCAATTGTTAGCCACCATGCGGATGCTGGAAATCAAAACCAGGTCCTCTGTAAGAGCAACAAGTGCTCTTAACCGTTGAGCCATCTTTCCAACCCCAACCTTTTTTTTTTTTTTTTTTGGTCTTTTTGAGACAGGGTCTCCCTATAGTCCCAGCTGGCCTAGAACTTGCTGTGTAGACCAGGCTAGCCTTGAACTCACAGAGATCCTTCAGCCTCTGCCTCCCAAGTGCTGGGATCAAAGGCGTGAGCCACTGGGCTCGCTCCAACTTTTTATTTTTTAATCAGGGTTTCTGTGTAACCCTGGTCGACCTGGAACTCGCTATGTAGACCTCACCTGGAATTCACAAAGAGCTGTCTGCCCCTGCTCCTCAAGTGCTGAATTAAAGACATGTACCACCACACTTGGCTTCTTCTAACTTCTAAGATAAGTCCTTCCACTAGATAGATTATGTGCTTCCAACACTTAATATCAAGAACAGATAATAGACTCTGGGCATGGTGATGAATGCCTTTATTCCAGCTCTTGGGAGGCAGTCAGGTGAATCTCTGTGAGTCTGAGGCCATCTTGGTCTGCAAAGCAAGTTCCAGACCAGCCAGGGCTACATAGTAAGGCCCTATCTAAAGAAAGGAAGGGAATGAAGGAGAGGGAGAGAGAAATGGAAACCAAGAGAGCTGAGGATCAACTTAATGGTAGAACACTTGCCTGGTGTTCACAAAGCCCTAGGTTCCATCACCAAGACAAAGGAAAAGAGGAAGAGAGGGAGGGAGGGGGAGAGAGAGAGAGAAAGGGGGAGGGGGGAGGAAAGGAGAGGGGAGGGAGGGAAAGACAAAAACCAGGAAAACAAATGAAAAAAAAGGCTACCTGACCTGTGTGTCTGTTCCTGTTCTGTGCCCTCTGTGTGCCCTGATAGTGTGGCTGGGACATGTAGCATTTAATGGCAGAAGGGTCTTGGCCACTCTAGAACCACAACTAAGTGATACAAGTGGACCGTGACTATGCTGAACCATGACTTGACTCTAGCTCTTGTATTTGGTTCATCAGGGAATTGGAAGGGATCCTGTTCATGGTTGCCTGTGAGTACACAGGCCATGCTCACCCCTTTATCCTCTTCCCTTCTCTCTCTGAATAGAAGTGGCCTCCACCTCACTCCTTGTCTTCACTACTAACTCAAGGAACAGGCTTATCGACAGTGAGTGATCTACATGGCCTCACTGGGGAGACAAGTTTGTGGCTTGCCAAGCTGTACAAAAGTAGATTCAGTTTCCATACTCTATGTCTTCCAAAGTATTGATTGACACAGCCTTTATTTCTCCATTTCCTGGGGCAAGGGGACAACGGGCTCTTTCTGTAGGAGCCTCTCCTGTCCCCTGCAGGCAGTCAGGCTCCCACCCAATGCAGTCAGACTGTGGTGAGGGTCCCAGGAATCTGGGAGTCTACCTCATGTTCGTCCTTGCGGCTCTGCCTGAGGAACTTCATTTCTTCTCCGTCCTCTCAGATTGACCCTGAGCTTCCTGGGTCCTCTTTTCTTCTCTTTTGCCCCTGTTCCAAGTGGCAAGGTCATCTGCGCAGAGCTGTCAGATGTGTTATAGATGTCTTTTTTTTTTTTTTTTTTTTTTTTTTTTTAAAAATGGTCAGCCATAGCTGGCCTGAAACTCACTATGTAAACCAGGCTGGCATCAATCTCACAAAGATCCATTTGCCTCTGCCTGGGATTAAAGGCATACACCAACATGCCAAATACAGATGTTTCCTTGAGAAATAAGTCATATGTGTTACCAAAGACCTCTTTCCTACGGCCTGGTTGCTTCTTCAGGAGTGGCCTGAGTAGCAGGTGGTTGAGCAGGTGACTCTTGTCACATTTCTTTCTCTCCTGAAATGCTTTCTCTGGAGATGTTTTCCACAAGATCTTCTTAGACACACCCCCACCCCCAAAACCTGCCTTGGGCAAGGGGCAGCTGTCAGCATCGGGGGAGGGGGTGAGCCTGTTCCCATACAGGTTCCTCCCTAGTTCTCCAGTGTCTTCCTGACTGACTTTGATCACTGTGCAAAGTTTCTGTCCGGCCCCAGCTACCCACTCCCCAGGAACTCTTTTGCAAGGGCAGAAAGGTAGACTGTTACCTCCCGCGAAAACATACCCAGACTTTTGGTCCTGGGAACTTCCAAGTCCCTTTCTGGCTTCCCATGTCTCAGACTCATCCACATCACAGCTTTGACTGCTCCTGTTTCTGGTGTAAGAATTTGATTTATTCTCTTTCTGAATTCTCCTTGAATCTCTACCTAAAGAGACCTTCCCAGAGCAGCCTCTATACTCCAAGTGACTCTTTGACTGTTTCCCCACCTCTGTTCTGCAGTCCCAGAGAAGGCAGCAGTGCTAGACTGCTTCTGAGTACCTTATAGCTGTTATAAGAGCCGAGTTACATGCTACATAGCAAGAGGTGCAGGTGCAGAGAGTGGGCGAGAGCAGCAGGTAGTCTGTGGCTTGGTTCCATAAACCATCTCTGCTGCTTAAAGGACATTCCTGTGTGCTCCCCTGTAATAAAGCACATCCTCCACCCTGCAGCCTCAACCTCCCCTATATGTACCTCAGGGTGTGGGCAACAGCACCTCTATGGGGAAAGGACTCACATCAGTTACCCCTAACCTACCTGCCTCAGTGGACTGTGTCTTACAAATTCTGGTCTGGTGGTCTCTTCTCATCTCAGATCTAACTGATGCAGAACTTTCAGAGGTCTTAGTTTCCTGCTTCTTAAGCCACACAGTCACCTACTCTTGTCTCATAAATGGCTAAAATTCAGAAACGTGCAAAATGAATGTATTCTGCTGTACCTGTTTCACACATAGGAGAACACTGTGGGCATAGGTGTGAGCACATTATTACTTACAATATGCAACCAACCAGACATTCACAGCTACATAGGTGTCAAGTGGGGAAGTAGGGGCAGGTAGTCTGTTCACAGAGCTTAGGACATGAGTGTTACTAGATGCATGCAAATTTAGAAACATTTCCCATCCTTAGGGAGAATATTTTGTTACGAACCTTTTCTCTTAAAGTTTCCCCTATCTCATACTAATCTAAGCCAACTTTCTTTTCGTTAATATTTGCCTAGTGTTGCAGCTTATTAAATATCTTCCTATCTAGCATCTGCTAGGTTATTTGTTTGTTTTTAACCAAATAAGGAATTTTCTTTAGCTGACAAGTTATTTATTTAAATTTCCCATGAACACTGGTAATTCTGAACTAATTTCTGCTTTAGACTTTCCATGTTTATTTTTTTCCTATTTCTTTTCCAGCACTAGACGGGGTTGGTGGCATAGAATTTAATCTTTTTTTGTTTCTATGTGTTTGCAAGTTAAAAGTTCTATGTTACTTTAGTGGTTAAAAATTCCTTAAATGATGTACATTTTCAAAAGCCCAAAGTTGGTATAAGTCAGCACCCTCCTTCCCAAGGTTCCTTCTGGTCTCCCTTCTCCTGCCTATCAGGATTTTTCTGAACCAGTCTTTTCATAGTTGTTTGCAAGTGGTTTTATTTCATTCTTGCTCTAGAGTGTGATTTAATAATCTGTTTTCTGTCCGCAGTGACAGAGCCCTCTGCTCTCCTGGCCAGTGCTTTCCTCTTATTATTGAACTGGAACTGTTTCTTCCTTTTTTCTTTAGTCAGTTGTTTTGTTTTGTTTTGATTCAGATTTTTAAGACAGGGCCTCATATACAGGAAGCTTACCTGGAAAAAACTATAGCCAAAAACTTTGAACTGCTAATCCTCCTGCTTCCACCTCCCAAGTATTGAGTTTTATTGGGGGGGGGGGATTGTTTTGTTTTTGTTTTTGTCTTTTTGAGACAGGGTCTCCCTGTAGTCCCAGCTAGCCTGAAACTCACTATGTATACCTGGCCAGCCTTGATCTCAGAGATCCACCTGCCAGATGAAAAGCATGTGCCACCATACCTGGCCCTTTATTTTGTTCGGGGATGGGTTGGTTGGTTGGTTGATTAATTTTGTTTTGTTTTGTGAGACAGGGGTCTCCCTAAGATTTTTTTTTTTTTAATGTGTCTGTATCTATATGCCTTGTGTGTACAGGTACCTGTGGAAGCCAGAAGAAGGTGTCAGATTCCTTGGAGTTGGAGTTACAGGCAGTTGTGAGCTGCCCAGTGTTGGTGTTAGGGACAGAACTTAGGTCCTCTGGAAGAGCAACAAGTACTCTTAACCAATGAGCATCTCTCCAGCCCCTTGTTTGTTTTTTTGGTTGGTTGGTTGGTTTTTTAATATTTTATTTATTATTGTTATTTTATGGGTATGAGTGTATTGCCTGCATGTATGTAAGTGCACCCATGTCATGCAGTGCCCATAGAGATCAGAAGAGGGTGTTACCCTGGATCTGGAGTTACGGATGGTTGTTAGCTGCCATTTGAGTGCTGGAAATTGAACTTAGGTCCTCTGGAAGAGCAGCCAGTGCTCTTAACCACTGAGCCATCTCTCCAACCCCTAGCCCCCTTGTTTTTATTTAATTGTTTTGCTTCCTGATCTGTAGGATCTGTCTTTCAGATAATGTCTTTCATCATCCAGGGAACTCACTCTCCCAAATTCTGACCTTATCTTCTGTCCCTCTCTCTCTGCAGGTCTGTGGGGTCATCCATCTGTTTTCCTTGCTCTGAGCTTCCTTGATTCTGTTACTTTAATTAGCACCCTAACCCCTAAACTTATTTTTATTGAGACACGGTCTCCCTGTAGCCCCAGCTGGCCTGGAACTCAGTATGTAGACCAGGCTGGCCTTGAACTCACAGAGATCTGCCCACCTCTGCCTCCCAAGTGCTGGGACTACAGGCATGTGCCAGCACGTATAAGAGTATGGTGCCACACACCTTTAATCCCAATGCTTGGGAGGCAGAGACAAGCAGGTCTTTGTGAGATCGAGGCCAGCCTGGCCTACATAGCAAGTTCATGCCAGCTGGGGCTACAGGGAGACCCTGTCCAAATAAATAACAACAAAAAGAAGGTTAACAATGACTGAGGTAAAACTTTCTGGAGTATTGTTCTGATTTCAAAAAGGCCCGCTGCCCCTAAACTTCTTAAGGGTCATTTCCCAAATAATCTTTCAGAAACTTTGTCTTTCTTGAGCTAAGACTAATCTTCAGTTCAGCCACTCGTTGTGTTTTTAGTTTCAGTTAATTTTTTGCTCTTTTTAGAAGTTACATTGGGCAGTTTTTATGCCGGCCTGTTCTTTACTCCATATCTTACATTTTTAATTCTTCCTCTTGGATCTCTTGCGGTTTTACTGATACACATTCCCATTAATTCCCTTGTTAATTCTTTTATCTGAATTTTTAGAGACTTGAGTGTACCCTTGCATTGGCTACTCTGAGAGAGCACTGTGGTTCCTGGTACCTCCCACCCCACATCGGAGGTGGGGCTTTCTCCACAGTCCTAGGATAAGGGTTTGTGTCTCTGAAGCAGATTCCCTTTTGTATTGCTCAGCACCCTTGACTGTTACAATCCAACAGCAACTTTTAGTTAACTCCACTTGCCGGTCTCCATCCCATACCTGCACTCTGACCTTGCTAAGCAGTGGCTCATCTAGAGCACCTTTCTGGGTGCAAGGACAGGGCTTTGCTCATGGCACTTCCTCTGCCAAGAGCACACTGACCTCTGATTCCTTCACAAACCTTGCTGCATGCATGATTTGCCAGGACAAGGACCTTGGCAGATCAGACATAACTCTCAGAGCAGCTGTAGATTAGGAAGACAGAATCAATAGGTTAGGGTGTTTCCTAGCATTATAAGCAGACACTAGAGGTTTTAAGAAAAGGTATAAGGGTATGGTGGCACACACCTTTAATCCCAGTGCTTGGAAGGCAGAGACAGGCAGATCTTTGTGAGCTCTAGCCTGGTCTCCATAGCAAATTCATGCCAGCTGGGGCTACAGGGAGACCCTGTCCAAATAAATTACAAAAAGAAGGTAAACAATGACAGGTAAAACTTTCTGGAGTATTGTTCTAATTTCAAGAAGGCCAGCACTCATAGATGTGGGACCTAGTGCTCATCCAGGAAAGGACCGAGAAGCAGTGGGTGCCTCTTGACTTTGCTTCCTTTCTCCTGCAGGTGAGCATCTGTCTGGAATGCAACAGCAGCAAACTACGGGGCCTGAAGCGGAAGTGGATTCGATGCTCAGCCCAGGCGACAGTGCTTCACCTGAAGAAGTTCATTGCCAAGAAACTCAACCTTTCCTCCTTCAATGAGGTAGCCATCAGCCAAGGAGCTGGGGTGGAGCCTTTATTGCCTTTCTTATTTGTTCAAAAAAAAGAGTATGTGACATGCATGCCATAGTGCTTGTGGGGAGCTTGCAAGAGTCACTATGTCAGTCCTTCCACTATGTCAGTCCTGGGCATCAAACTCAGGTCATCTGGCTTAGTAGCAAGCACCCTTACCCAGTGAGTCATTTCATTGGCCACTTGTTCAGAGATTTTTTTTTTTTCAAGATTTTATTTATTATTTTATGTGTATGCATGTATTGCTTGCATGTAGGTAAGTGCACCCATGTCATGCAATTCCCAAGGAGGACAGAAGAGGCTGTCGGATCCCCAGGGACTGGAGTTACAGCCAGTTGTTAGCTGCCGTGTGGGTGCTGGGATTTGAACCTGGGTCTTCTGCAAAAACAGTCAGTGTTCTTAACTGCTGAGCCATCTCTCCAGCCCCTTTATTTTTTATGTGTATGAATGTTTTGCCTGCATGTGTGTGCACATGCATGCCTTATGCCTAAGGAGACTAAAGAGGGCATCAAAACCCTGGAATTGGAGTTAAGGACAGTTATGGGAACCAAATCCAGATCACCTGCAAGAGCAGCAAGTGCTCTTAACTGCTGAGCCATCTCTCCAAATTCTGACTTAGAGGTTTGTTTTTTGGACAGGGTCTCCCTAAACCCCACCCTGCCTGGAACTCACTATGTAGACCAGGCTGGCCTCAATCTCACAGATATCCGCATGCCTCTGCTTTTCTAGTGCTGAGATTAAAGGAGTATACTGCTATTCCCGGCTTAGGTTTAAAGATTTTATAATGGGAAAGAAATCCTTAATTTGTTTTTCCCATCCTGACAGGATGTATGAAAGAAAATATTAGTGAAGTTGTGAAAATTCAGAGACTACATTATACTTGTACATAATAAGGAGGGTCTCTTGGGAGTTTGAGGAGTGGTTATTTGTGTGTGTTGTGGGGAGGGAAGAAAGGAAGGAGGAGAAGAGAGAGAGAACATGATGTATGTGCAGATGGGTGTGGGGTGCCTATGGATGTGCAGAGGCCAGAGGAGGACCTTGGGTGTCTTGCTCTACTGCTCTGTACCTTCTTTTGAGAAAAGATCTCTCTAAACCTGGAGCTTAGCTAGTGGCTGCAAGCCCCAGCAATTCTCCAGTCTCTGCCCTCCCATAGTATTGGGGTTAATGGCCCCTGCATGGCCATGCCCAGCTCTTTACTGTGCTGGTATCTGAACTCAAGTCTTCATGCTTGTGCAGCAAGTGCTCTTACCCACTGAAACATCCCTAGTTCTGGAACTGTTTTTTAATTTCATTAATGGGTGGGTGGGTGGGTGGGTGGGTGGACGGCGGGACAGACGGTAGGTAGGTGGATGGATGTGACTCTTTGAGGTTGTGATCAGTAACTGAAGATGAAGTAAACTGGGAGACCCATAGCTTGTTGGACAGACAGGAGCTGATGGCAGAGTTGTGAGCACATGGGCTCAGAAACCCACTGGGTGAGCACATAAACCATCAGCAGGAGCTAACCTTGTTGCTTCAAAACAGCACTCAGGCCCTGTGAAAAGTGACTTGTGGAATATATAAGCCACTGTCAGGACAGAAGGTCCAGCATGTTACAACAGACACAAGTGAGTGGTAACTTGAGAGTTGTTTGAAGAGCAGTATGTGGAGCTGTGTGCCACCTGGCAAACCAGTATCCCAGTCGGAACCTGGGATGTGACCATATTGGAAGAGGGTCTTTGCAGATGTAACCTCCTTAAGGATTTTGAGATGAAATATCTCACATTATATCATCATCCTAAATCTAATGACAAGTGTCCTGTATTAGTATGCAATAGAGGAAAATTTGAGACACAGATCAGGCCAAAGGAGTGCCAGATAACAGGAGCAAAGACTAGAGTGACCTTACCAGAAGTCCCCCAGAAGCTTGGAGCAAAAGGATCTTCTTGTGTTCAGAGTGTCCCCCAGAACCACATGCTGAAAACTTGACCCCAGCCTCATGGTGCTAGGAGGCAGAGCCTTTGGGAGGTATTTAGATCATTAGGGCTACACCTGGGGGAAAGGGGGGAAAAAGGTCTCTCTTCTGTTCTTCCAGCCTGCAAGAACATAAGCAAGACCCCAGAATATGCCCACTTGTGACCAGAATTGCAGCCTCCAGCAACATGAAAAATTAACTGTTCATCAGTTCCTTAGTCTGTGCTAGTCCCTTATAGCCACACAGACAGAGACACTCTCAACAACCCTGCCATAGTGCACTTTCAGAACCTTGGGCTCTAGAACTGTGTATCAGACCCATGAACCAGGGTTTTAGACTGTCAAGGGACCCAGTCCCAGCCCTCAGCCACCCCCACAGGTGGCTGGGAGGAGGCAGCAGACACAGCATGAGGATGTGACTTGATACTGTGTCCTGGATTTGATTTGTGTTGGGAAGAAGAGAGAAGAGAAAATGGGAGGGGCAGGGGAATTTTGAGCCCTGTGAAGGTGAAGGTGCCAGTCTAGACTTGAAGAGGCATCTATGCACTCTGCAGAGCCAGGGGCATGGGGAGACTTCAAGGGGGACTGCCCTTGAAAATGGGAGGGGCAGGGACATTTCTCCCTAAGAAGCGTCAAGGAGAGGTGAGATATTTTCAGTGTAGCCGACCATTAGATTATGAGCATCCCAGGTGGATCTCACTGCCCTCAGAGCTCTGTGGTCCCTAATGCTGCTTGAAGGATTGGGGGTATGGGGCACTTTGACAGATATTGAACAAGACAGAGGGATGCTAGTACTAAGGGCTAGTCATAGGATCTGCTGCAGGATGAATGCTATTGCTGTGGCTTACTGAACTGTTGATGGCTAAGCCTTTGGGACTGCAAGGGTCAGTGAATGGGCACAGGTATTTTCATCTCACTGCTTCTCAGGGCAGGACAATTACTTAGATGCAGTGAGCAGGGCTTCACCAAAGCAAAGTCTGGAGCCTGAGTAAGGACAGGGGTCAGGTGCCCAGGTATCACAGATGCCCAGAGCAACCAGGCTGGGCCTCTTAAGAGCACCTAGTAACACAGCCATGAAGGGCCCCACTATGCCTGTGACCCTTGAAGAAGTTTTGGTCTTAACAGGAATGGTCCTTTCGTGTTATAACTTGTTTGCACCTGGCTTCTGCTTTGGATGAAACAGGTAAATGAATAGGCAAGCTGTATTCCCACACAACTGGGGAGGGGCTCGTTTTAGAGCATGTGGAACTTTTGTTCACCTAACTGAAGCCCTTTTCCCACCAGCTGGACATTTTATGCAATGAGGAGATCCTGGGCAAGGACCATACTCTCAAGTTCGTGGTTGTCACAAGGTGGAGATTCAAGGTAAGACTGGGTGGTGCTTTTGTGTACTAGGTTTTTAGATAGATACATAGCTGGCCCTTATCTTGCTATGCATGTCTTCTGTCTTTGAGTTTGAATGTGATAGTTCCATCACAGATACTGCTGTGGAACTGCTCTCTTTCTAGAATAACTCACCCCAGCCAGGGTCTTCACTCACCACCCAACTTCACCCCCTGAGCCCAGGACTGGAAAGCAGCTCTTCCCCCATCTAGCCATGTTGCTGCCTGGGAAGAAGGGGAAGGAGACCACCAGGCTAATCAGGGACCAGGATAAGCAGTGGTTGGTGCTGAGCAGGGCAGGGGTTGGAAGGTGAAAGAGACAGTACAAGAGGGGACCAGAGCTAGTGCAGTACACAGGAGAAACAAATTGGGAAACTTGGCAGGCAGCACAGGCCCTGGTATGAAATCCAGATACCATACAGGTGACCTCTGGGTCACCTGGGACCAATGACCATGACTCCATGTCCACACAGAACAGGATTCAGATGTCACACCACTGGTGCAATTATGTGCCTGTGGTCAGAGTGTACCACATGGGCACCTCCTTCAGCTACCTGTGTTTTTGTCTCACAGAAGGCACCCCTCCTGCTACACTACAGACCCAAGATGGACTTGCTGTGAGCCCAGCCAGACTCAGCCCGCACCTAGCTCTCCACATAGCAGCCATGCTGTGGAATACTGCTTCTGGGTGCCATGCGGACCAGATTTCTGAATAGAGAATATTTATAACTTTTGTATGAGAGAATACGCTCCCAACAAGACACTACCAGCACGCGTTTACAGAGGATGAAAACACTTCGCAGTTCGCTCATCTCTGCTTCAGGTCCACAGATCAGAGAATAAATGAAATCGTGTGACCCACTCCCACGCCACCTCCGACACAGCACCTTTGCTTGCTTCCCGGGTCTTGAAAATCTGGGTTCATTTCAGTTTTAATTCATGGGTTAGGTTTCCAAAAATACTTTTCCTTTTAATGATTCCTTCCTAAGTTATTGAAAGTCTTTTCATGGTAAATATTTATGTTACCTTTAGCTTCCTGAAAACTTAAAAAAATATATAAAAATTTAATTTAAAAGCATACCCAAAGAGGCTTGCAGTAATGCTATGATTTAGCCATGAAGTTTAATTTCCCACTTTATATAAAGCAGAGGCCCATTCCCAAGCTTGGGTCTCATGCTAAGTCCTGGGCTGGCCTGGCATGCAGGGCCATTCATCACCCCCTCAATGTCATCTGACTGCAATTCCGGCACACTCAGCAGGGCAGACCAGAGGTGGTGTGGCCAGTGCAGCACTGGCTTATCGAGAAGTTCTTGTAGAAATGCTTTCCTTCGAAAGGCCATCACTGAATTTCCTGCCTTTTCCTTCCCATTTTCCTTCTACTGACAAGCTGTGGTGGTAGTGCTTATTAAACAGCTCAGGCCATCCTTTGGGGAGACCTAGGAAAGGCTTCAGCATTTACCAGGCAGCCTCCATGTTTCTGGTGGCTGGTGTTTTCAGGCTCAGCTTCCTGCTGGTAAGGAGGACACATATGCCTTGTGGCCCTTTTCTTTTTCATGGAAGGTCGCCAGGCCGCTTCATCACTTGAGAAACAACTCTTGTCCACCAGAACCCTTCACTTCCAAAATGTGATTTTGTTGATGAATTAGAGAATAAGATGCCAGCCATTCACATTTATTCCCTCTTAAGGCAGAGGTGCGGGTATAAAGGCAAGAATGAGGAGAAGGGTTACTGTCCTGGGGTTCCCAGGGACCTCTCAGTCCAGGTGCCCTCTTACCTCTTTTACCTCCTTCCCTCCCAGGCCCCATGGGAATTGGAGGACCCTATAATCACAGAGGTACCTCTGTCCTTGGTGGGCAAAGGAGGGTTTTAGTGTGTTCCTGAGGACCAGGCTTTCTGAGTCTTCACCATAGCAACTGGAATATTTTTCTTGGCTTTGCTTTGACAATTAGGGTTGGGCTCATCAACCACCTTTGCCTGTTTTCTTCTACTTTTTCTGTCTCATGCACAAAGTGTCAGAAGCAATGACTAGTGAGACCTAATGTTAGTAATAAGGGAACGTCCACATTAACTCATCTTTAATGTATGACCTTCTAAAACACAAAAGCAAGCTCTTTGTTAGGAATTGATCAAAATTCACCTCTTTTTTAAGCCCAGGACTGTTTGATTATTCAGTTTCCTGAGTTTGCTATTCATCCAAATCATTTCTAGTGTTACTATACAAGGGTTTATGCGTAAAAATTACCTGTCTACCTCAGAACACATGTGCTGCTGAAACATTCTGCAAGACCGTGTTCTCACAATGCAGTTTAGAATTTAGGTATTTTCCTGTGTGGTGAAACTAAAGGATTAAACAGTTAGAAGCCTCCAAATTCAAATAAAGTTAATTTACAGTTCAGATCAAACTTAGTATCTCTGTATAATCTCACGGTATATATTTGTAACTTTGTAGCTACTTTTGGAATCACTTGACTTTGCTATGGTGCTAAGTTGATAGATCTAAGTGTTCAGCGAGGCGGACATCGCAGCCGGCACCAGTGTCCCAGCCGGGTGCCGCTGTCCCAGCAGCCCTGCTTCTGTCACCATGTTAACCTGATAAACCTCAGCAGCAAAAGTTCCTATTTTTCTAAGATTCCATCATGAGCCTGTCTGCACTGCAGATGGTCTCCCAATGCCCTTCTGCCCTTTGGTCTGACCTGTAGCCTTACCTCTCTCAGAGATGGAGCAGAGTGAACCTGCGTCAGATGGAAGCTTCAGGGCGCTTTGTTTCACTCCTGCCAAGCTCCATGTGACATCAAAGGCTGAATTTTTTTTTTCCAACATGAGTGCCAGGATTGGTTAGTGATCGGTCCTGTCGAGCTTCTCAGCGGATGGAGCTCCTGCCAAGTTGTTTTCACAGCTGCCGATGCAGGAAACCAGGTGCATCCAGCCGGCAGCCACGGGACCAGCCTCCCAGCACTTGGTCTCGTTCACCATTTTCACAAAAATAGAAAACTCAGATAGAATATATAATATTGAATTTAAGATTTGGGGGGTAAAAAAAGAAAACTTTATAAAATTATTTATTCTATTTTAAGCCTTCTATCATATTTTCCCATCCAATTGTTTGGTTTCTGTGGTCCAGCTTTATTTACAGGCATATAAGATAAAATTGTGAGGTGTTTTGCAAGCTTCTTTTACTTTGTGTAGCCTTCGGTTTGTATGTTTTCACAGGGATGAAGAGCATTTCTATGCTTTTGTGCAATAGGTTCCAACATGCATTTATTAGATGTGTTTGAATTGTGATCTAGCATCGGTTCTACTAAATTGAAAGGGAATATAGGTGGGATTTCAAAATACGTGCATTGAGCAATTTGGTTTTGCCTTTTCCACTGTTGTTATTATAAGAATGCTGTTATTGGGACTGTGCGTGTGTGTGTGTGTGTGTGTGTGTGCGTGTGTGTGCGTGGATACTTGCCAGCAATATTCAAAAATAAGCAGTAAGGCAGATAGTATGAGGGTTCACAGTCACCTGGAGTGCACCTAGATCCTTGAGCTGGGTCTGTGGCTGAGCCATCCTGGGAGTTGGGATCTCAGGGTCTCTGCCTACAAACCTGGCAGTGCTGCCCTTCACAGGCCTATTGGCCCTGACACCTGGCCAGCATCAAAGTCTTTGGAGCCTGGTGTGTTGTTTTTGAAGGCACACAGGGTGGTTCATAGTGCTCTGAAATATATTAGATTGAATGTTCTAGGAATGAGCCAACTGAGTTCTGTTGAATATGCTCCTGAAATATTGAAAACAAATTTAGTACAGATAGCTAAATCACACACAACACACGAAAACAATGTCTGTTTCCTCAGGAAATCATTGAAGCCCCAACACATCACATGTGACCTTAACATGAAAACAGAGGTTTTCTCCGCCTTTATATTGAAATACACCAAGTGAATAACTGGGATACGTAGATTAGAAAAGTCACTTAATTGTACCACAATCTGCATATCTTGTGCTCCTCCAGGCAGGGATTGCCACCACTTAGGCTCCCATCAGGAACATGCTGCACAGGGCTACAGCTCTTTGGCTCGGTGTTCCTGTTGGGTGTCATTCACTCCCATCCAAGAGCATAGTGAGAGAATGAACTCAAGCGTGCCCATGAGGTATATGTGTGGCTTTAGCATGAGCATCTGTTCCAGCTCTCAGCTTGTACCAGACACATTTTTCCTATAGTGGAAGTAACATCAGGTCAGGGACAGCAGCACCACCTGAGCTCTCACCTTGGAGTGCAGCCACAGCTAACAGCTGTCACAGTGTATGGAAACGATGATGCAGATACAGATTTTTGACTGTTTAATTTGAAAGTTTACATTTTTTATGATTGTGTTAGTGTGTAATTTTTGTACCATCAGTGGCTAGTTTTTGTCTAAAATCTTTTTTGGAATATTGCTTAATGTTTTGATTTTATGATAGTGAAGCTTGTATTCAGTGTTTTGCCAATTAATATTATATGCTTGTAATAAAAGCAGAAGAAAAATTTAACTAAAACCTTCCAGACTGGAAATGTTTTAACTAAAATATTTGTAAGTGCTTGAGACAGATGATCTGTTACAGAATATAATCAGCCTTCTGCATCCATAGGCTCAGCCAACCAGGGATGAAAAATACTCAGAAAAAAATGCATAAACCAAAAATACAGACTTTCTTCTTGTCCTTATTCCCTGACAGTTATTTATATAGCATTCATAGTGTATCAGGTATTACAGGTCATTTCAAGAGTTCAGGAAGATGTATCATAAACAAACCCTATGCTGTTTTATAAAGGGGACTTGAGCATCCTCAGACTCTAGTGTCCACAGAGGATCCAGCCTCTTCAATGCTGGGGGCTCCTGTGAGTGTTATGAGAAACGTTCACCATTGAAGTGTGCCTCACCTTTGCTCGGGAGCACAGCCTTACCGCGTGCGTGCACATACCTGGATTTACTAACCCTCTGTTCCACATCATTTCTAAAATGTTGCAATTGATTCAGCATTGGTTGCCACAATTTGGCAGAAACTCTGAAGTACATGTGACTTATCTGTTTGCCGAGGAAGTGCTCTTTGGTCTGAAGCTGGACAACAAAGGTGCTGGAAAGGAGGCTCTCAGTGGGCTGATGGAACATGTCTCCTTGTGTTAAACAGTTTACCCCTGGAAAAGGAGAAGAAGTACTAGTTAGACTTAAAGTTTCTAAAGGTTAAGACAACAGTCTTAAACCTGAAAAAACTAAAGTTGGAAGGCATTAGCATCGGTAAGCCTGAGAAGAAAGTTTAGTCTTAAGAAACTGACTTGAAATTTCTTTATGTGTGTATGCACATGTGTGAGAGAATGTACAAACTCCAGCTCTATCTCGCCACAGTGACAGGGTTTGTAACTGAATCTGGAGCTAGGCAGTGGCCACCAAGCCACAGTAATCTTGTCTCCCCCTTCTCCCCACCTGCTGGGGTAAGATGTATATACAACCACATCTGGCTTTTCATGTGGGCTCTGGGAATTGAAATTCAGGTCCTCATGCTTGCACAGCAAGAGCCATCCCCCCAGCCCCTGACTTAAGTTTCTTTTACTTATTTTTGGCAAGTCATCCTGCAGATATCAGAATCAGCTATACCACAGGAAGTAGAGAGTAATAGATACAAGTCCTCAGGACCAGGTGGGTTGCTGCCTACCCTTTTCCAGATGAGATTAGTAGGTGGCAGGGTCTGAGATTCTGAGACCAAAGCTGCAGTACAAGACAGTTCCCAAATGGAGAAGGTGTTTTCCCCAGAGAAAAGAGCGTTGAAGTCTTTCATCTGGTGCTGTGCCTGCCACAGTCACTCCAGTCAAGCACGGCTTACTTGCCCCCAGTTGCTGCATGGAACCAGGCCTAGGGCCTTCCTACCCTGGTAGGTGGTGCTCTTTCTCCAGTGCTTTTCTGTGTGCAAGCTGCACCTGACCATGAGTGGCATCACAGACTCAGATGTAGTCTTGTGAAGATCGCATGTAACCCTTAACATGCAGCAAGCAGATGGAAACTGGTGGTATGACTAAGACATCAACAGGCATTTCTCTCCAGAAGCACACACTTCCCACAGAGGTTCTAAAACACAAGACTGAGTGCTTAATTCTTGGTTTTAAGGCTAAACCTTTTCTAGATGCACCACATCCTCCAGCCTGGCCTGTATGGGAGACCAGTGTCATGGAACCCTCTCTACATCAACTGGAAAATATCTCTTCTGCTAGAGAAAATTACCTTCTTTTACCAACATGTAGCTGTACATGTGAATAACAGTCTCCCTGTTAACCAGGGTGTAGTAGCTCACATCCTGTAACTCCAGCATTCAGGAGGCTGAGGCCAGAAGACTGCAGCAAATTTGAGGCCAGCAGGAGGATTATGAGTTTTTAGACAGTCTGGGCTACAGAAGACAAAAAATAAAGTTGGTTTTGTTTTTTTTTTTAACTTGCTAGAGCAATACGAGTACTAATTGGAAAAGAAGAGGTCAAACTACACCTTTTTGCAGATGATGATACTATGCCTAAGAGATCCCAAATGTTCCATCAGAAAAGTCCTAGAACTGATCAACACTTTGAGTATGGTGGCAGGTATAAAATCAATCTACAAAAAGAAGTAGCTTTTCTATATACCAATAACAAGCAATTGAAGAAAGAGTACAGGGAAATGCTCCCATTAACAATAGCTGCAAATGATAGATGATAGATAGATACATGATAGATAGATCTTGGTAGGGCTGGAGAGATGGCTCAGTGGTTAAGAGCACTGACTGCTCTTGCAGAGGACCCAGGTTTGAGTCCCAGCACCCACATGGCAGCTACAAACCATCCTTAACTCCAGTTCTAGGGGAATCCGAAGCTCTCTTCTGACCTCCACAGCATTGCATGACAGAGGTGCACTCACATACATGCAGGCAATACACTTATAAAAATAATAAAATATTTGAAAAATATTTTTTATGGAGGACAGGTGCTTTCTATTGCAAGAAGTTGAAAATGCTTCAGAGGGAATGTCAATCTAGGCAAGAACCTGTGGGGTTTTCCATGGATTTGATTTCAGGAAAAAGCAAGAACAGAAGACATGAGCAAGAAAGCTTTTAGTTTGATTGTCATAGGATAAGTGGAAGAAATAGCCAGCGCAGTGGGACATGCCTTTAATCCCAGCACTCAGGAGGCAGAGGCAGACAGGCTCTCTCAGATCAAGACCAACCTGATCTCAGTTCCAGGCCAGTTGGGGCTACAGGGAGACCCTGCCTCAAAAATAAAAGAGGGAGGGAAGGAGAACCTGGTGTAGACTATGGCACAAGGGACCTTAAAAATGAGGTGGAAGTAAGTTAAAAATGAGCAGTTACATAGGTGGAAACGGCAAATGTGGAGAAATTCAGAACTGATCAGAATGAAAGTGGTTTTTTGCCGGCTCTTCCCATTCTTCATTTCTCCTCCTCCCCTCCCCCCCAAATGAAGATGCTCTCTAGGCACACTGCTATGACCAGCCATAGACTAGTGTTCAACTTAGAAGGGATCCAAATCTAACTGGAAAATGCCACTCGTTCCTACTAAAGTCCCCCTCAGAAGCATTTCTAATCTCTTGGAAAAGAATCTGTCCCCTCAGCCTCATGCTGCTTTCTGCTTAAAACTTCTTTATGGCATCATTCATGAACCACCAGTTCCCGATGCTTCAGCACTCACAGCTGTTATGATGACAGCGGAGGTCTCTTGCTCTTATTCCTGCTTTACCTGACAGGGTGCTCCCCTCAGATTCAGTACAGGGTCTGGCACTCTGGACATTTGATAACTGCTACTTCTCTCTCCCACACCCTCTTAAGTTTCTTTCTCCTTACCCCACAGACCGTCTGGCCTTTCTAGCAATGCGTAGGGCTTCTAAATATTTTTGTTCATTTTTATGTTGTGTCTATGAGTGCTTTGCTTGTATGTTTGTAAGCACACCATATGCTTGTAATACCTACAGAAGCCAGAAGTGGGGGTCAGATCCCCTGGAATGAGAGTTACAGCTGTTAGCTTCTGTGTGGGTGCTGGGCACTGAACCCTGATCCTCTTGAAGAGCAGCCAGTACTCTTAACCACTGAGCCATCTCCCCAGATCCCCAATGGTTAGTTTTTAATCCACTCCTTCTAAGATCCCATCCTCAGGTCATCCCATGTGGGTGAGAAATCCACAGGCTATGCTTATCTATGTACCCCTGGTCCACATGACCCTAAGCATTACTGAGATCCTCTCCCACTGGGTTGAGGGTTTGAAGACACCACTGGGAGTAAGGGAATGCCATGCCTTCAGTCTTCTCAGTTTGGAAAGTAGGACTTGGAATAGTGGAGCCTGCCTGTTCTTGGGGTGGGTTATATCTAAGGGAGAAGTTTAAAGACTATATTTGCTCCCATTACTCCCAGCAGGGTCCTGAAACCCACAGAAGCTTTGGAGTTCTTTGGCCCCATGGAACCACTGATGCTAAGCTAACCCTTTTATTTTCTAGGATAGGAGCTGTGTCATTGCTGTTTCACTGCGCCTGGGACCAGCCTGTGATCAGTTTCCCCGGAAGAGCTGTCTTCCATCAGTGCCCACTGGCCGTTCTGACCCCGTTCGCCGCTTCTGCTCTCCCTGCCCTCATGGACTGGTGGCCAACGACCCACGAGCAAAGGGAGAGCCTCCCACAGCTGGCCCGAGCCTCCCGCACCTGGCCCGCCGAGCCGCCCTGCATGCAACCTCTATGGGAAACAGTGTGGATAACTCTTAAAAAACTAAAAATGAACCTACCATATGATGCAGTTATACCACTCCTTGGCATATACCCAAAGGACTCATCCTATTATAGAGACACTTGTACAACCACATTTGTTGCTGCTCTTTTCACAACAGCTAGGAAGCAACCTAAGTGCCCCTCAGCTGATGAGTGGTTAACAAAAATGTGGTATGTTTACACCATGGAGTTCTATTCAGCAGTAAAGAAAGATGAAATGATAAAATTTGCAGGTAAATATATGGATCTAGAAACTGTTATACTAAGTGAAGTAACACAGACTCAGAAAAACAAACGACATATGTTCTTCATATGTGGCTCCTAGCACCAAATCCTTTTAAATTCCAGGTCCTTTTAATAAGATGATGCTATACAGCAGTCCCTTCTGCATGAAATAACTACCATCATCACGACTTCAGCTGTGCCTGATCACTGAACAGCCTCACAATTGGGCTTGTTGATGATTGTGCTCATTCATTAAAGGAGGGCTAAGCAGGGTCATTTGACCCTCACCACATTATCCAGCCACTCTTCCAAGCCAACTATATGTAATTTGGCCCTAATCACACATGGCCTCTGGAGGGCTAAAGTATACAATTTGGGGAAGGCTAGGAAGAGAAGGCATGACCCATGCTGGATAAAGGCTTTCCAGATTGCATACCATCAGGTCATACATACACCTCAGCAACCCCTGTTATCTCGGTAAGTAAGCTCACATTATCCAGCCACTCTTCCAAGCCAACTATATGTAATTTGGCCCTAATCACAC